GGCGACTGCTGCCCCCGCGACCTGGTAACGGATAAGCAGATGAAAATGGATGGATGGATGGATGGATGGATTTTCAATTCCATATTTTCTTGAGTTCAGAAGCTAAAGCTGTGGACGTGTTGCCCTGGCTGGACTGGAGCCTCTGGGTCAGCAGCAGTGAAGTCACACGTGGACCCAGAGTGACGCCCATCTTTCATAAAAACTCTCTCCAGACTCTGTACGAACTCTGACCACAAGACAACAATCCTGCCACTTTATCTCCTGCGTCGCCTAAATATGCATTTATCAGTGGGGTGTAAGCCCATTAGAGACGTGGCGTGTGTGTGTGCAGGCAGCTCCAGCTGGGCAGTCAGTGGGCAGAAGGATAATGGACGCTAATCGGAGAAAAGCCACGGCCATATGTCTGTTCAACGGAGGAGACGGCTACTCCCTGACCGTCGCTGCTCTTCTAAAACAATTAGCCCTTCACTCTGAAAGCGGATCTCTTTGCTGTACTACTTACAGTACATGTCGGTCCGTGTTGGGCCAGAGCACGAGGCAACATGTGTGTGGGTGTGTGTGTGCGCATGTGAGAAGTGTGCCGTTTTGTGTTTGTTTAGCATAGCGAGGGCGGGGGCGGGAGAAACGGCGCTGGTCACTGTGTGACAGTGCATGTACACGACGTGTCGGATTTCTTACACAAGGACAAGGAGTTAATCTTAAAAAAAAAAAAATCTGAAGACAGTCGCCCCTGCTGGCTGTCATGTGTTGGGTTTTTTTTTTTTTTGGTTTGTTTTTTTTTTTCAGATGGATATTATTATCCCTGAACTTGTTTTCGTCCTATAACCAGGCAGGATAAGCCATTAGGCAGATGGTAAGGGGAAATCCCACAGGAGGACGTGCACACACACACACACACACACACGCCTGTACGCACAAAGACACGGCAGACTCCTGTCCTGTAAACACACATGCACAGTAAGAGCGCACAAAGACACCAGACCTACCAGAGCCCTGTTATGTAATCCACCAGCTCCGCTCCCCATCCAGAGGCTCAGTCGAAGGGCTGTCTCAGTGCTGAGACAAAGTCATCAGTCTTCATACGTAGCTCCTACGGATGGAGAGGATCTGAAGTAGTTCAGTGTGAAGAGCATGGCAGTAAAACTGTAAAGATCTGAGGCTCTGATGGGTCTCATGGCCCTGTAGACGCTCTGCTATGACTGAGATTGTTTTTGCGGTGAGAGTTAGGCCTGTTGTATTGCCGAGGCGATGCAGTCATTGCTTGTTTAGGGTAAAAGGATTAATCAAAGGCTTAAACAAAGTGTATTTTTATGTGCTGTTAAGTCTCTTCTCGGCAAGTCTTTTTCTCTCTTCCCCCTCTGTGAGCGCACACTGTCGGCCTGAATGGCTTCTCAGACCGTGGCAACAGATTTCCCTTTCAGCCGCGTCCAGAGAACGGATGTGGCTGATGTTGGTAAACAGTATCCAGCCTTGTCCTGGCATCAGGGCAGGGAGTGCACAACGCCGGAGATATCAAGGCGCCCGGGCCACACACAGACGGGGACAAAAGGTAGACACACACATATAGACATTTGTATTCATGCGCGCACACACACACACAGAGAGACACACAGAGACACACACGGAGGCAGATATACACAGACTACTAAGAGACAAATAAAAGACTCACTCTCAGTGTCTGCTACTCAGCAGCTGCTCTAGTTTCCATGGCAACGGCCCGAACAATGTAGTAGGAAGAGCTACGTTGGTGTTTGTGTCTGTGTGTGTGTGTCTGTGTGTGTGTGTGTGTGTCCTCTGTGCACTTGACGAGTGTGTGTAGGTGTGTGAGAGTGGGTGTGAGAGGCTGCAGAGGGGGTGGTAGCCTCAGGGTGCCCAGACAGAGAGGATACAGAAGACGCTCTTGATTTCTTTGTCAGGATGTGTCTTTGGGAGCAAGAAAAACAAACAGAAAATGAGTGGAAATAAAAATAGAGCAGATGTGAACGGGTCAAAGGCTGCGCTGCGGTCATGTCACAAAGTCCCTGTTTGAAATACAGTCAGTGTCGTGTGCTGGATACTGTATTATTGAGATCATGTCAACAGCACGATGTTGTGATAGTAATGCAGCTCCCATTAGTGTGTGAAGTCACCCGTGAGCAGCAGGATGGTGTGACGGCTGGAAGCTCTATGTAAACATTATTAGTGATAACAACGTCACGTTAATGTCACTCTCAGTTTTTTTTTTCTAGTGAAAGTCTTTCTAGGTGTAAAAAGTGCTTACATTTCAGGTGAAGAGCAGGTGATGGTTTTAACTGTGATTGAACCAAGAGACCGTCTCATCCTGGAAGTTAGCAGAGTCATATATCTTTCCAAGAAAAGCTACTGAAATATACTAAAATATATTATAATAGGAGCAAAAATGGGGAAATGTTAGCAAAAGGCCTATTTTTGTTTCCCCAAAAGGAATTATGTAATACAATAGAAATAGCTTCAACAACATACGTCAAGTGAAGAAGTAAAACTAGGATTGAAAATATAACTAAAATAGCTCAAGTTTACCAAAAAACAACATTTTCTGATTACTCTATATCGCTCCAAAGAGCTAATATTTAGCCATAAATGGAGAGAAGATAACTGAAGTTAGCACGGAACGGCTAAATTGGTCTAGAGATAACCAAGGCTAAGCTCGCAAATAGCACCAATGTTGAACCTGTTGAGCGCTGTAACTTGTTGGCTAAGGACAACAAGTGGCTAATTCTTGAGCTAACAAGCAGATAAGATTAGGCAGAATGTGAGTTTGTCCAGTAGATTATTGACCACATTCTTTGTTTCTGTGGTTGCTGTTTATTTACTGTACTGTGTGCAGTGTGATGTAGTGAAAAAAAACAAAAACAAAAAGATCCAGAGATCAATAGGTGAGAGGATTTTATGATGTCTATTTATTTTTCAAAATGAGGTATTTCAAAGTGCTATGAGTTGCAGCACTAAATGTACATTTTAAAAATGAAAAAAACAAACATCTTATATCCGTTTACCCAGTTCTATGCACCCGATAGTTACAAATATAAACAAAAGAGTAGGAAAAGGAAGATAAAAAGGCCAGGTACATGAGGATAGAACACATTTGCTGTACAAAAGAATTATCTGAGATACAGAGGGAGAAAAACAATGACGAGATAAAGTGATATCTACCGAGAACTCATTTTCATACGAAAATATAAGTATCAAATTTAGTATGTATCAGGTTCACACTAAAAGCATAAAGGTGTGTAGAATTAGTAATATGATACAATACAAAGAAAATGAAGAAAAAAAAACAATATATTGTTATATTACAAAGTTTCATGACTCTCAAAAATCGAGGCCTTACAGTACTTTAAAGGTATATAAACTTCCAGTCTAGGTATTGGCAGCTTCCTGACATGTATATATAAAAAAGAAAAACCAAGGACAAATGTATTACAAACAAGGCAGATCTGAGTGTATTCTTTTTGTCTGTACACTATTGTTATATACAAAAGTGTCGGCTATCAAGGTGCACAGTTTTACATCCACTGACTTGGTTTGAGCACCAGTGTGAGAGTCGTGAGGGAAGGAGAACCTGTAGTGGCTTCGTTAGTCGCGTGTGACCCAGTTCGCCTCGGTCGTCAGTCTCTTCAGTTTTTGATTTCTTTCTTTCTTTCTTTCTTTTTGCAGTGGTGAAGGCAAAGTTAATGTGCACTGCTTCTTGTACATGAACTCTCCAAGCAAAGTGCCCTCGAACACCCGTCCCTGTGGGAATCACCTGATTCCGGGCTGGTGTCACAGTGAGTATAAAAACAATTTATCTTTAAAAAAAAAGAAGATACAAAAAGAAATGATATAAAAACCAGAGGAAGGGAAGACCTTAAAACATGTGTGTCCTCTCCTCCTTCCTCCCTACATCTTTTTTTCTTTCTATCTTTTCTCAATGCGTCTTGATTGGAAAATAAAAGTAAACCCTAAACATTCTTAATGTCAACAAATGTGCAAAAAAAGTGGCGGCAGTGAAAGTCCGAGCGTCCCTCCAGTAGGCCCTCGCCCCTCCTCCAGGTGTGTGCTGGTTTCTGAAGATGAACGTCCTCTGAGACATAGTGTGTTGTGTATGCGTGTGCACGTGTGCAACGACAGATGGACAGGCCTGTGTGTCTGTGCTGAAGTGTGGAGGCCTGCGATGGTGGCTGTGACTCTGAAAGACTGAGTTAGAGAGGGAGGAGGTCGGGCCGGAGGGTCGTCCAGGGTTTATGTGAGTGTTTCCGTGTTGTACTGGTTCGTCTGTCTCTTAGCGAGTCCTTGCTTGCTCTAGCCTGCGCATCAGCTGCTGCCTGCGGGCCTGCAGTCTGTCCATTTCCTGCTGGAGCCTCATCTCCTCAGTTTCTAGCGAGCTCACGTACTCCGTGGCCTTCTTGAGGATCAGCACCTTGGCCGCCTTCTCGTTGTGCGCCAGCTCGGGCACGTGATCCCGCAGCGTGAGGAAGCTCGAGCGGAGGTCGTTGCGACGCTGGCGCTCCAGGATGTTGTGGTTGCGCCGACGCTCGCTGTCCTCTGAGTCGGAGCTGCCGCGCGGGCTGCTGTCTCCGCTGCTGCTGCGCTTGCTGCGAGGCCCTGACGAGCTGAAGGAGGCGGAGGAAGAGGTTGAGGATGAAGAGTTGAACCTGGTGGGGTGTCGCGTGGCGTCCGATGACGTCTTCTGCTTCTTTGGAGGTGGCGCGGGGTCGTCATCTGAGGCGTACGGTGACGGGGCGGCGTAGTTGTGCTGCTGCTGGTGGACGGAGCTCCTCTTCAGGATCAGCTCCTGAGGAGCTCGGCTGACGAACCGGCTCACCACGCCGGACCCTGAGACTGCTCCTCTCATGTCTTGGCTCTTTGGGTGCACGGTGATGGTGACGGTGGCCGTCGTTGACCGCCTCTTCTCCACTGTTACCACATCGATCTCTTCCTCTTCCTCATCCTCATCCTCCTCCTCTTCTTCTTCCTCTTCTTCTTGTTCCTCCTCTGCTTCATCTTCTTCTTCATCATCTTCTTCTTCTGAAAAGGGAAAACAAAAAGTGAGTGAGCGACTCGGTGGTTCTGACACTCAAGCATTTCCACTTTGTCATCAGTGTGTGGTGACAGGTGTGTAGGTGAGTTTGGATTTGAGAGAGATCAAGAGTGAGAGTTTGTGTGTGTGTGTGTTTGTGTGTGTGTGTGAGTGATGGAGGGCGTTGCTCGACGCTGTTTGCATAAGCAGAAACCCCTTAATGCTTAGTGTCAGTCACTTCTGTGCAGGCGTTGACACGTTGAGTTTCAGTGCTGAGCAGACAGGCTGGATTCTGCTTTTCTTTCTCTGCTCCTCCTCCTCACAAAATCTCCTCTAATCTTCTCTGGTGAGACAGGACTCTGGTCCCAGTCATGCTGACGTTGTGCAATAGCAGCTCTCATTAGGCGTCACCTTAACTTTGACCTTGTCGGCTCTAAATACCTCTGACTTTTTCCTCATTCTCTGGCACCACTGACAGAAAGTAGCCAATCGTGAGGCGGCGCGGTTTTAGAATGCCTTTGTGATAGTGATTCTTAGAATCAGCTCTGGAGCATCTGTAGTGTGTGACATGCTACAGCTGACAGTGAGACACTTCAGACACTGCACTGCCAGGAGGTCCTCTCAACACTCACACACACACACACACACATCAAAACAAAGCCTGGCACAGCTGGGATGTGGATGTGCAGGGGCGCGGTTGGCTTCACCACATGTAAGGCAAAGATTTTACTGTTTGGTCTTTTACTTTTATATGGGAAAATCTCATTTACTTGCTGTCGGATGGAGTTTTAAAAATAGAGGACAGGACATAAAACCTCCGCACGAGGAAATAAAACATTATCCTAAACCCAGAAATTAGAGCGTTTCAGAGCAGCAGTAAATCTTCCTGCCTCTTCACAGCTGATTTTTTTTTTTGGATTGGCGGAAGTCCCTCATCTGGAGTTTGTGTCTCTGTGATCTTGCGCTGAGAAACTACAGAGCTAATAACAACACTGAGTGCAGGGGAAGTGCAGCTCCGGCCCTGTGTGTGCGCGGCGCGGCGCGGCGGGGTGGCCTGGCAGGGCGGTAGGATCACCACCCATTTTTAAGCCTCTGAGCTGGAGCGGCGCCAGGAGGACAGCTGTCGGGATGAAGCGCTTGTTCAAAAGCTGTCACCCTCTAAAGAAGCGGCCAGAGCCCTCCTCCGTCCTCTTTTCTTTGCGAGTTAGAGGAGGTGTTTGGCGCAGCCTGGCCTGAGTCTGCCCTGCTCGGTGCCAAGCTGGGGGCCTTTGTACTACTGTTTCACAAGGCAAACACGCTGATAAGGAGCTCGCGAGTGTTTGTTTAGGGAACTCTGGGCAATAATAGACGGGAGATGAAGTCTTAGAAGCCATTAAATCCACACGGGGCTCGCTTCC